CTCCTAGGGAGCCAGGTAATAGGAGGAGGAGCAAAAAGGCAATGAACAAATGGAAAATACAAAGCAAAACACACCAGTGGAAAGGAAAAAAAAGACACAGGAAAACAAACAGCTTCAAAAGAGAAACTGAAAAGAAGATGCAGTCGCCACTGTGCAAAGCACAGCTAGAGAACACTCACTATTCACCATGTACACACCACCTGCACTTCTACCGAACAAGATTAATTACATTCTGTCCTAAAAACACTAAACTTCACAATGTCTATAGGGAGAACATTAGTATAAAGCAGTAGTCGCCCTTCACAGCTGGGACCTTATCATGCCCTTGAGACCAAAATATTTGCTTTGAATCAAAGAGGAAAAGAGTTACTGTAACCTTGGTGTTTCTCCTTACATGCTATTCTACAATGCCCTCTCCCCGGCCAAAAAAGAGTAACATACAACTTTCATATTCACGGTTTACATTGGCTCACAAGAGCCGTGGCTTGAAAGGTAAAGAACCAGAAAATATTACAACTTTATCAACTGTTGATGTCATTTTGGCTATCTGTACAAATAACAAATTGGCCTAACAAATGTTGAAGTGGGGGAAGGGCTATAAAATGAGGAAGATTGGTTGTTTTTTTCCTCCTCCAAATTTAAGAGATCTCTGTGGCATTTTCCAGCCTGCAGGCTGATTTTCAGAATTGCCAAACACTCATAAATCCTATTTACATTAACACAAACTGCTGGGGACTCAGAACTTTAGTCCCATGTCATATAAAACATTTGAAAGCCTCGGTGCATATCGTTAACTTTAAACAATCTTAAGAACAAAAAAGTAATTATCCTTGAAAATCATTTAATGTGCAACTTTATTTACAAATGCTTGGAAGCTTGATAAGTAGATTAAAAAATAAAGCAAAACTAACTAAAGATTAAATAATTACTCTTGCAGGACAAGGTCTAATAAAAAGCTCCTAATAAACGCAGGCATTTTCTTGGATACATCTGAATTACTAACCCTTTTTTTTAAATGTTCAGAACTTATATTAGAAACGCAAGATTTTCAGCAACTCTGCTTACTGCAACCTAGCAGCACAGCTGCCATCTCCTCTTGAAAACACACTAAAGCCAGATCTTGACTGTGATATCAGGGCTACTTCTTAGGGCATCCATACCACTTTATTTCCAGGTTGACATGCATAGAGAGAGAACAAATGGGTATAACTTATTTCATCGGCTGCAGGTTAGATATACCCACTATTACCTTTATACGTGAAGTCAAAGAATGGGGATGCTGAAGCTCTGCCTCTTCCACTACCCACCAACACTTCCCTCTCCCAGACATGGCCCTAATTCTGTGGGAAGAGAATATCGTTCTACACCAAGTATTCAAAAGCTCATGGAAAATACCAGCTTTAAGCAGTTTTCATCTTCAGCTCACGTAATGGTACTTTGCTCATCCTGATAATAAATAGAATTAATATAGGAGCATACATATCCTCTTGCAATAGAAGTTCCAGGAACAAATTGTGTATAGTGAGCCTTTTGTGACTTAGTGGTGAGAAAGGCTTATGTAGGAGTGGACTAACCAACTTGTACCCACAGCAGAAATACTATCTATTGAAACCAAAGTTAAAAATTGAAGTCTAAGAAGTATTTGCAGAACAGTGTAGGTCAAATCCCATGTATAGTTCCCTCGCTCTGCTTAAGCTTTCCTTTTAAAAACTGCCACTTTAAAACTTTGTTCAATTCCACAGGGTTAGAGTATAGCCTCTTTAAGGCAAAAGTCAAGTATATCTTGCTCTGCTTGGCTAGAGACAGAAGTTGCACATAAACCGGTTTAAGTGATCAGAAACTGGTTTAAGCCTGTAACAGAACAAAAGTTCAGTACACATAAACCAGTTTCAAAATGGCTGAAACTGGTTTAAGATAAACCTGGCTGAATGTAGTATCTGAATACTCATCAAATGTCTACTTATTTGTTCTATGTTGTGCCTAATGTAGTCCTGGCCACATCAAAAGCAGCACAGCATCCTAAAAGCTGATCTAATTTCCATTTTCAGTTCCCCTGTATATATTTAAGTACTGATTCCATAAAAAGCAAACAACTGTACTAATCTTAGTTGTCACAGAGCCCTAGCCTATATTTAAATTACAATGAATTATTAGGAGAAAAGGCTGTTTAAGACAGAATGACTTTATTATAATGGCAAAAGATATTAAGTAGATGCAAAGTTAGTTTACATTTCAACATTTTTGTGTCTACAATTCCAAAGCTGGTCATAAGTCTACCAAGTTAGTAAGTTATGACAAAACTTACAAACTTCTAATTTTACTACAAAGTACTTTTAAGGAAGCATATATTAAATTCTCATGATAAGCAGGTTTCCATTACAAAATAGCAACAACTGCATAGATCTGTCTACCACTTAGCCAGATACTTGTTGTTACCCTATTCCGAAAAGAAACAAATCTTATCTGTAACAAAAAAAAAATGAAGCAAATCTCACATAAAGCATGTAAATTATTTTTATTCTATGTAATATTATTTAAAAGATGGATATTTTTCCATAAGGGAGGCAGAGAATAAGACTAATATTTGGACAGACATCATCTGTTCAAGACAAATTATGCTTTTACTTGTCAATGGTTGGCACCATGTCAAAACTTGCAATGCAAATCATATTACCATTACACAATCAAGATTCTCTGGCATTAGGAAATGCTCAGTGCTATTTCACTTCAGTCTACTGCTATTAAGTGGATTTTGAGTGTTTAAATTTCAGAAATTATTGCCTTGAGTCAGCAGCTTGACCATTCATTTATCTTTGTCCAGTGAATGAAATTTACCAACATTTTCTTGTCAGTGTTTCAAGGTTCATTATCTTTCCCTTCCCTTACATTATTTTTTCTTATTCTAAGCCATTTATATCCACCCCTATCATCCTTAAACTTATTTTCCTGGACAGGGTAGAATTTCTGAATAATTTATGAAGAGACCATGACACTTCAAAAACAGTAGGGTTTTGTTTTTTAGGTTTTTGATTTCTCCCCATAAGACTCTCTCAAGAACAGTAACTCTAAAACAACAGCCATTTATACACATACTTTCCTGTTCCGCAACACAATGGATATGCACCGCTTCAGAGCAGATTTGATTAATCTCGATAGATGCGCAACATGCTGTACCGCATGCAGTTGTATAAGTGGCAAAATACACGTCAGCATGCAGAAAATGGCGGCGGTGCACTTTTGAACGAAAGCACCTCGATTGTGTTTTAGTTCAAAAGCGCACTGCCGCCATTTCCTCGGTGTTGAAACGCATTTCCCCACTTCACCTGGTTCTGCGGCGTTTCCATGTGTAAAAATTGCCCATAAGGTCTGTAGGTTGTAGCCATGTTGATCTAAGGACATAGGCAGACAAGGTTTTTTGGGTGATGCTTCCTCAGCCTGACAAAGGGTATTTAAACCCCAAAGCTTGCTAATAAGAATTTTTCCAACTATTTGAGCTGGTCTAATACAAGATATCAGATTTACCCAAAAGAACCTTGTCTGCATAAGGTCTGTTATATTCTTCATCTTGAAACAAGTGATATAGGGCAATTTTTGCAGAAAACAGGAAATTATGTTCCTTATGTATTTAGGTTCAAAAAGCTCGAGGGGTCAGCAGATTTTTTAAATTGGCCAAAGCAGTGTTAGAAGGTCTGTTGGCATGAAATTATGCTGAACAGTTTGGTTCCAAGGAGGTTACAGACCGCCAACAGCCTATTCATTTGATTATTCAATTATTTGGCATTTCAGTGAACCCTTGTATATCAACCTATAATTATTGCAAAAATAGCTCTCATCGGTACAAAATAATCTATAGAATATTTCCACATGTTGATAATTAAAAATGCACGTGCACACTGAAAAAAAAAATGAAAAACAAGGATTTTGAGAAGAAGATGCCTAAAATTACACTGGAGACCATATTTAGGGTTTGTGAAGTGGCCAGGTTTTTAAAGAGCACCCAGCAGCTCCCCTGCATTTAAAACTGCAAACTGACCAACTTTAGCAACAGATGTCTCAAGAGGCTGAAACCTGATCTACCCCACAATTACTCAGGAGAAAAAGGAAGGTTGAGTTGGGTCTCATCTACGTCAGACAATTTGAAATGTAGTAACATTATACATACCACAACTTTAGCATTCGGCATAGGCCAAGCAGTTTTTCTCTGCATCACATCAGTGAACTGTGATTAAATTCTTGTCCTAGCACATACCAGCAGACAGCAGGGTTTAACCATGTTTAACCAGTGTTATGCTGCATTCTGTTAGCCCTGACTCAAATGGATTAGTCAGAATTGTCAGTTCTTCATTACCATGCTTCAGCATTGTCTGTACTATGTATCATTATGATGTGCAAATGTATCTTGCCTTGACAACTGCCAGTCTCACAAAGAAGTACTAAAAGGTGAATTTAAGCCCAAAAAAGCCTATAAATAAGACTTAACTTTTACATTATAATTGCACATATAAATACACATATATCTTGGCTGATTTTAACACCAAAGAGGCCAGTTTTACATTTCTACGTTCTGGATATTTCTTCTCCCTCATCATATCTTCCTTGTCATAAAAATATGATTTTCCATAATACAGACCCTTCAAAGAGTCCAAAGTAACATGTATAGCCCTAGTCATCTTACTGAAATTATTCAAGGGAACAGTTGCACAAAGTTACTTCTATTCTGAAAGATCCCAGGTCTCTGAGTGAGGTTTCCTATAATCAAAATGAGGAATACTATCAAAAATTGATAAAATTATATTGTAATGAGAGAGATGGAGTGCCTCAATTATATATCAAAAGTATGAATTAATTCCTGGGAACGGTTTGAGCATTGGAACCTTTGCAGGACAGTAAGACCAATGGTTCTCAACTTTTTTAGGCTTAAGGCACTCCTTAAGAGAAAGGCAGCTGGTCCCATCTATTTTAAAACCAAATGGAAACATAATGCTTTGTACCATACTTACATATGAGGACTGAGTTCATAAAAGTTCCTGTTCCTGTATTCTTCAACCTTCTCAGGTGAATAAATAGGTAGTGATCTGTATGGGTTTAATGAAATAACCACACTGCCGATGTATGTCTGGAGAAGAAAAACAAGGCAGGAAAAACACAGAATTTTAATTCTCACCACAAGCATTGTTATGAACGGTCTTTAAAAACCACACAAAAAAATTTTATTATATTTAATTCCTCAGTTCAGGTAAGGATTCAATATTTGCTTCAAATATCACTATGTAACAATGGATAACTACAAAACACACCTTTATATACTAAAAATGCCTTTAAAAATCTCTCTTTTGCCTAACTTTTGTTACATTCATTGGTTACAAGCTTCTCCGTTGTATATACAGGTGAATATAAATTTTAAAAGACAAAATGATGAGCAGTTTGTAATAAGATATACAAAATAAGGTTATTCACTGTTTGTTAATACTTTGTTGGGTTCAACCTAAGGACCTACTGCTTCTTAAAACTGAAGCTGCAAAATCCCTATTTAGGAAGCAAAATATGGTACATTCCGCTTATCTGCATATGGGATACGTGTATTTGCTTAACACAGCACCAGTCCCAAGTTATTTCCTATGACATTGTTATAAATTGTGGTTGTGCCTAAACCACCTAAGTACAAAAAAAAATCAGTCCAGCTGTGTACTTAGTAATGTTATTGTACTCCCTTTAATTGTATAATTGGTGAAACAGATTAGGAGTCATCAATTTCAAGGCTTCTTGAAAGCAGTTTGTTTTAAAGCAGCCTTGAACCAATTAAGTTCTGTTAAATTCAGAGCTGCTATTACAGGTCTGAGAAGGTGAGCTTTAAGGAGTGTGACCTTAACCCAGGCTGCTCCTGTAAGTCACAAGTATTGTTTCTATGGTGCTCTATCTAGTAATCCAGGTAAATGCACAGCCTTTTTTCAGTCACTTGGCCATATCCTTGTAACAGATTATACTATATCAAAAGGTTGCCACTGTTTCAGACTGGTTCCTTATATTAATATTTCACATATGAAACTTGTTTAAAGTATCACTGAACTAAATACAACTGCATGAGGGACACTAATTCAGCTGTGGGGAAGGATGGTGGGAATCCAAAAACCACCAATCAGAAAGTCTCAAGGATCCACTGCTGAGTCACTCCTTAACCTCTCCAGTATTGAAATGCCCTAAAACAGGGGTAAGCAAACTCATCTAGCCCCAATCATGAGGGCATGAGCAGATCTAGGATTTTTAAAAGGGGAATGCAGATGGTGAGGTGCATCATCACATATAAAACAATACATTTTTGTCCAGTTAAAAAGAAACTAGAAGCTTTACTAACATGCCAGGGGCCTAGGGCTGTGTTATTCAGCTTAAGATTGAAGAAATAATAACTAACGTTATTGGAATGAATTAAAAATGGTTTGCAGGGCTGTGTTTCATTACCAGCTAACTGTTCTAACAACCTAAGGCTAGCTTGACTGATGGATACAAAACCATTACAAAGAAAAGAGGGTGGTTAAGACCTGTGGAATGAAGTTTAGAAGGGATCAGGTAGATTCTAATGAGCCACGAGCGATTTCCTCAGCATTGCCCGACTAGAAATGCTGCTGCCACTGCCAGGCAGCTGGTTTTAAACTTTGGGTGGCGCAGGAATAAAAGGAGAGTACAAGTGCCCAGTACGCATCTCTGGATGCACCCCTGGATGAGGGTCATTGTGCCAGTCTGCATGCTACACATGCCATACACACCACCAGCTCTGGCACAACCCGATACAGACCAGGCCTGGAGTCAGAACATATTGCCAGTCTGGCACAGGCGCCACATGCAGCGCATGTTCCGTGCTGCCCCATGTTACACGCAAAATATGCAACGGCAGATCCAGCCTAGGTGCTGCCTGCAGCATGAGGGTCCAGGGCCAGCTTGTGAAGTCCAGCAATCTACAGTCTAGACCACATGGCTCCACAGGCTGGATCCTACCTGAAAGTCTTAAGTTTCCTGCTATAGAGAACTTATTTTCAACCCTGAGGTGCTTTAGCAACACTCTAATAGGAATGCCATAGGACTGTAGCCTGTATTTGTAAAACAGCCTAGCTTTGTCCCATAGGAAAGCTACATAGGAAAGAAACTTGAAAGCTCCTACACTCTAGAAACCTGCCAGAAAGATCTGAATAGTCAAGGTTCAAGCCAGTTTTTACTTCAGGCTTGACACTTGCCATTTGTTTTTCAAATGTTAAATACTGCAGCAATCATCCAGATTCTCAAAGCTAACAACCTAGTCCTTTCTCAGTTTTTTTCTGTCTGCTACAAAGCTCTTAACACAGCATGGAATAACATCATTAACAGAAGTTCAGAATTACACTTGCAGGACAAGGTCTAATAAAAAGCTCCTAATAAACACAGGCCTTTTCTTGCATACATCTGAATTACTAATCCTTTTTTTTTTAATGTTCAGAACTTATATTAGAAATGCAAGATTTTCAGCAACTCTGCTTACTGCAACCTAGCAGCACAGCTGCCATCTCCTCTTGAAAACACACTAAAGCCAGATCTTGACTGTGGTATCAGGGCTACTTCTTAGAGCATCCATGTCACTTCATTTCCAGGTTGAGAGCCAATGGGTAGATCTTATTTCCTCAGCTGCAAGTTAAACATACTCACTATTACTTTTATAAGTGAAGTCAACGAATGGGGATGCTGAGGCTCTGCCTCTTCCACTACCCACCAACACCTTCCCCTCCCCAGATATGTTTCTAATTTTGTGGGAAGAGAATATCATTTCCATGAGCTTTTGAATACTCAGTGTAGAAATATCAGCTCATGTAATAAGCTGTATCCTGATAATGAATCGAATTGATATAGGAGCATACTGTATCCTCTTGCTACAGAAGCTCCAGGAGCAAATTGTCTAAGGGCACTGCACAGCAGAAATACTGTTTATTGAAACCTAGCTAAAAATAGCCCCTACATGGTCTTCCAATTTTCCTATCTTTATCAAAGCTCTCACTCGGGCACTCTACCAAACTCTACTACAAAATCCCCAGATTTTGACACTGGAACAAAGCGAGCCAGAAATTTCACAAATCATTAACCCAAGTTGTTGGCAGACTCGGAAGGAGTACACTACTGCAGATTCCATGAGAACTCGCCGTTTCACAACCATGAGGGCTACAAATAATTTAAATAAAATTAATATCTGGAGAATTATGCTCCATCAAGTGGTAAATTCCACAACAGCCTTAACAGCTGAAGAATCACAGAATACACAGGCTCTGGTTATAAGTCTCCCTTGCTAGCCAATACAAGAGAAAAAAATAGACAAAGGATTTTGGACTTTGGATGTTCAAAATGAAAAGGTAAAAACCCTAAAATTTGCAAACTGATAATTACCCTTGCTCAGAAAAAACAAAGGCAGCCAAGATCAGCACTTCATGTAAGTAACATAATGTATTGAACAAACTCCCTTCCACCGTAATGTTTAGCATCAATGGACTGAACCTCACAACACCCCTGGTAAAAAAAAACTGCTATTATCCCCATTAGAAAGATGGAAAGAGAGGCACAGAGAGGCTATGTGACTTGTCCTGGTCTGAGAGGTAACAGAATATTGCATCCAGCACTCTCAAATAACCAGCACCATATTCAGTAGATCAGGATGTTCAGCCTCAGGGCTTCAGGCCAGATATGACTCATGGAGCCATGGCATCCAACCTGTGGGGCTCCCCACGGGTTGGGAAATTTGGCAATAAGGAGCAGTGGCTTCCAAATTCCCAAGCCCCATGCAGTAGGCCAGAGCCAGTCCATGCCCCTTCCCCACCCCCACCATGGTCAGATCAGGTCCAAGCCATGCCCCCGTTCCCTCTATATGGCCAGGTTGGGGCCAGGCCAGGCCTCCTTCTCCCATCGCGGCTGGTCCACACTGCCTCCCCCTGCATGGCTGGCTCAGAGCCAGGCCACCCCTCCTCCCCCAGTACCTGGGTTGGGGCCAGGTCATGCCCCCTCCTGCCCTGTGGCCAGGTAAAGCTTCCTTCCCCCACATGGCTGAATTGGGACTGGGCTGCCCCCCACTTCTCTCTGTGGAGCTGGGAGGGGCCCTGCTACAACCATCCTGGACACTGGATTGGGACTACCAGCCAGATCTGGCCATGGATGGACTGGGCACCACCGATCCAGCCTGCCAGGCAAAAAGGTTGAGCACTACAGCACTAGACCATTCTTCCTCTGCTCTTATCTTAGCCTTGATTTCCAAACCAATGTGGTATAAAACAGTCACTCGTAAGCAGGAACACCAATTTTAACACAGCATACATCTGTAACAGCTAAGGTGTAAACCCATAAGAGTGGCTAAAGTATCTGTTTCATTTATCATGGAGCTGCATAAAGTGCACAGCTTTGACAAACAGGAAGTTCCACTTTCTAGCTTCTAGACACTCCTGTAGTTTATTTTGCAATGCTTACTGCCCACAGAATGAAAATAGTAGAAGCCATTGATGACAATTCATAATAATTACTGTGCTGAAATGCAACACTTCACTAACTGCATAAAACACACTATTTCTAAATAGCTCCTTCATTTCATATCTTAAGAGGTGGTCAACAAATTTCCAACAAAACTTTTTTGGCTCAGAAAAGGCCAGTTTTCCTGGAAACATGTTGTCATCCAGATTTGGAGTCCAGGGAGGTGGGCTGTCTGCCTGGAGCCTGTATTCAGGATATTACAGAAAGACTGCCATATCTCATCCATCTCACAGACTACCACCTTTTCCTGCTGGTCCATGTAGGCACTAATGATACTGCTAGGAAAGACACTAAGCAAATCAAAGGAGACCACAAGGCTCTTGGCAGGAGGGTAAAAGAGGCTGAAGCACCAGAGCTCTTTCACCAATCCTCCATGTGGAAAGTAAGGGCCCAAGCTGGGACCATTGTATCATGGAAGTAACTGTGTGGCTGAGATGGTGGTGTCAACATGAAGGCTTTGGATTCTTTGACAGCAGGTGCATGTTCTGAAGAAGAAGACTGGTATCAACGGACAGGATTCACCTGACCAGAATGGGAAAAAAGCATCTTTGGACATTGTCTAGCAAACCTAGTAAGGAGGGCTTTAAA